TGAATTTCTTAAAATAAGCATGTTATTATTTCTGTCATCAGCAAAATTTAAAGCTATTTTCATTACAGAAAATAATGTTTAACATTTTAAAGTAATATGATTAGTAATTCAAACATTGTTACCTCTGATTAAGAATAAGCAGAATAAAAAGCAAGATGATCAGAAACAGTACTCAGAATATCCAGGTTAAGACATCACAGCAAGGTTTCCAATCTCCAAAGGCAGATAAGCTTTTCTACTTTTTTGCTCTTTCTTTTTTGTTTTATGTTTCCTTACATTCAAATTAGAGCTAATGATCCTAATTGTTTGAAATGGCCCAAAACAGATCTCCTTACAAATACAGATTCTGAGTCTAATTATCCATCATATCAATTTCACAATATATTCTGTGACATGCAAAAAAATATCTCTTTAGTTTCCAAGCATTACCAGTGTTCTTTATATCAACTAAATATGCCCCAAAAAGCAATGGTATTGCAGGTGGAAGAAAAGAATTGAAAGCACATAAAGAAGGTCAAAAATTATATTTCTCATTGCCACTAAAAATTAGAAACCAAGTGGCAAAAAGAATCAAGTGCTACAGCTGGCCCGGGAATACTATCATTTTAAATGGCCCTTTGCAATATGATAACTGCTAGCAATTTTTTATTATCCAGTTCCTTATCCTAGGAATTAATCTGTTTAGTTGTTCAATGTTGGGTTGATCTCATAGATTCAGATATGAGGCCTAATCCTTTGACATATCCATTAATACTTAGCTTCCAAATCTACTGCAAATAAACTCTGATAGGAACTCCTACACCTTCAGCAACCCATGGGAAAACAAATATGAAAACTACTCATAAGAAACCTAGGCTGAGGTAGACAAATGAAAAAGAAATGAAGAATTTTAAAGGTATGTACATACCATAACCTGCTCACCAGCCCAATCATCACAAGGTTTAAAATAATGAACTCCTGCAAACCTAGATGTTTCACAGTCAAGCTGGAGAATCAATTTAAGGTGGGAAAACAAAACCAAAGTAACGTGTTTTGTAAGTTAAAATCACAAAAGAAGAAATAGATTGGAAATAAAGTGAATCTCTTGAAGGTATTAAAGCCTTAAAATATGTTCTATTTAAGAAATAGAAACTTACAATACAGTAATATACACTCTGCTAGAGCTCCCATTATTAAACTTAGTTTCTAAGATTAAGAATTTCTAGTTG